TCCCATTGTTAGTTTAAATTTACTAAAAATTATGGAACAAGAATTACTGGTTAAAGTTTTATGCAACATTTCGACGTGTTTCCTGTTGTCCTCAGAAACTTTAACCAGTGATTGTTGTTCCATAAAGCTGTGTCTATATATCGTACTCACAATTGATAAATGCCATTTAAAGACTTGACTAAATATTAAGATAATTTTTACCTGTTCTATTGAACTAATTAATAATATATAAAGTAATATGACCTATATATAATATAAAATATTTCCAGGTGATATAATGTAGAATAAAATAGTTCGAATTAATTTACCTTCACTTAATCTACTTCAAACTGACATTTATAATACACAAATATTTACTACAGTCAAATAAATTGGGGTAGAAATCTCTCTATTATCTCAGATTTCAGTTTACATCTTTCACCTCAGCTGATTAATAAAATAAAACAGAAATTTATATCCTACTTTCTGAGTTCTAAATTGACTCTGGATTGAAATAATGAATCAGTTTCTATTTTTCCAGCTTTTTACACCTGACTTGGCTCTTTATATGGAGTGTTACCTCCTTCATTTCTATACAACAGATGGGCAAGGTTAACCAGTTTAAAGATTTTCTGCAGTCTTTCAATTCGTGAATTCTGTCCAGGGATCTTCAATTTTTACATGTACTTTCTCTGTTTTCCTATCAAACAACTAGACATTATTCCATGTTAAATTCTAACCTTATAAAAATATCAGAAAATGTGATATAAATCTAAAAACCTCCAGACAAGCAATCAAGTTAACAAATTATTTCAGCTGACAAAGATATTCCTGATAGACTGGTATAAAATGATATGAGATGGAGTTTACATGTCTGCATGTGATTGGACTTCTGAGGACTTTCGAGGACTTCTGAGGATGGTTTGAGAACTTCTGAGGGAGGATTGAGGCGGGTTGAGGACTTCTGAGGACAGTTAGAGGACGGGTTCAGGACTTCTGATGACGGGTTGAGGACAGGTTGTTGACTTCTGAGGACGGGTTGAGGACAGTTTGAGGACTTCTGAGGACGGGTTGAGGACAGTTTGAGGACGGATTGAGGACAGGTTGAGGACTTCTGAGGACAGGTTGAGGACTTCTAAGGACGGGTTGAGGACAGTTTGAGGACGGGTTGAGGCCAGTTTGAGGACGGGTTGAGTACTTCTGATGACTGGTTGAGGATGAGTTGATCACTTCTGATGACGGGTTGAGGACAGGTTGAGGACTTCTTAGGGCGGTTTGAGGATGAGTTGAGGACTTCTGATGACGGGTTGAGGACAGGTTGAGGACTTCTGAGGGCGGTTTGAGGATGAGTTGAGGACGGGTTGAGGACTTCTGATGACGGGTTGAGGACAGGTTGAGGACTTCTGAGGGCGGTTTGAGGATGAGTTGAGGACGGGTTGAGGATTTCTGAGGATGTTAAGAAAGGGTGATCAGTATATAATATTGAGATAAAGTAACTAAATGTCCCAAATAGAGACTGATAAAATTCTGATAAGATAATAAACTAGGTCTAGTCTCTATCTCCTTCACCTCTATCTCTCTTTCTCTCAGGACAAACAGTGTGACTCAAACCCTACAAATTTACCTAACATCTTCAAAATATTACCGAGGAATCTATTAAACAGCGGGGGAGAGAAACAGTATTTAATGAACACAAAGATAATCCATTCTATATTTCATGATTCGTACCCAAACATCTTCAAAATATTACCGAGGAATCTCTTAAACAGCGGGGAGAGAAACAGTATTTAATGAACACAAAGATAATCCATTCTATATTTCATGATTCGTACCCTAACATCTTCAAAATATTACCGAGGAACCTATTAAACAGCGGGGAGAGAAACAGTATTTAATGAACACAAAGATAATCCACTCTATATTTCATGATTCGTACCCAAACATCTTCAAAATATTACCGAGGAATCTCTTAAACAGCGGGGAGAGAAACAGTATTTAATGAACACAAAGATAATCCATTCTATATTTCATGATTCGTACCCTAACATCTTCAAAATATTACCGAGGAATCTATTAAACAGCAGGGGAGAGAAACAGTATTTAATGAACACAAAGATAATCCATTCTATATTTCATGATTCGTACCCTAACATCTTCAAAATATTACCGAGGAATCTCTTAAACAGCGGGGAGAGAAACAGTATTTAATGAACACAAAGATAATCCATTCTATATTTCATGATTCGTACCCAAACATCTTCAAAATATTACCGAGGAATCTATTAAACAGCAGGGGAGAGAAACAGTATTTAATGAACACAAAGATAATCCATTCTTTATTTCATGATTCGTACCCTAACATCTTCAAAATATTACCGAGGAACCTATTAAACAGCGGGGAGAGAAACAGTATTTAATGAACACAATGATAATCCATTCTATATTTCATGATTCGTACCCTAACATCTTCAAAATATTACCGAGGAACCTATTAAACAGCAGGGGAGAGAAACAGTATTTAATGAACACAAAGATAATCCATTCTTTATTTCATGATTCGTACCCTAACATCTTCAAAATATTACCGAGGAATCTATTAAACAGCGGGGAGAGAAACAGTATTTAATGAACACAAAGATAATCCATTCTATATTTCATGATTCGTACCCAAACATCTTCAAAATATTACCGAGGAATCTATTAAACAGCGGGGAGAGAAACAGTATTTAATGAACACAATGATAATCCATTCTTTATTTCATGATTCGTACCCTAACATCTTCAAAATATTACCGAGGAACCTATTAAACAGCGGGGAGAGAAACAGTATTTAATGAACACAATGATAATCCATTCTTTATTTCATGATTCGTACCCTAACATCTTCAAAATATACCGAGGAATCTAT